ATTGATGATGAACAGGTTGACCTATTTGAACTTACTATCTAGCTTCATTGTTGTTAAGCACTGTACTGCTTAACCTAAGCGAATCTGGCTTTCAATTAAGGTCTAACAAGGCTGATGCTTTAGCGAAAGCTCGCCAGTAAACTATCACGCGTTATTGCTCTTCTGACGAAGATCTAGTAACACGTGGATGCGCAATATTTTGAGTGAACTAACATTGGAGCGGAGCGAAAATGTGAACTGCACGATGTTGTAAACCAGAAAAAGAGCAAATCCAGTTAGCAGTCCCAACATTTGAATATGGAGGCTACGTTCCGTTTCATAGATCTGTAAGTCAGGAAAAATGTGAATCAGCTTTCTTGTGGCAGTGAAGGCCAAAATATTTAAACTCACGTGTCGCTGCTATACCGGTTTTTCACCAGAAATCTCAGTATAGCCACATAGAATAGACTACATAGAATGAATGTGAAAGTAACGAAAAGGACGGCCATAGAGGTGGCGAGCTAGAGAAATAAATCATCAAAGAATAGTTCAAATCAAGCTAAAGGCACATTTCGAGCCCATCTGAGCCCGGACAGTGGTCCAGGCGTGAGGTGCTCACGATCAGAGAAGCTCCATGGGCTCCTTTTCGAACTTGTAAGTCACTCTAAAGGGCTGTTACATGGGTCCACATAGGGCCCGAGAAGATTTGAGTTGGCTGATACGTGCTGGTGTGTACCATTTCGCTGAACTTTTCGGTCCTCTCGCTCTTCTTTGTTCCCTCACCTCGGTCAGTGTTTCATGGCCTCTCGCTTCATGTTCTCGTACAGTAATTAAATGCAGCGATGTGAGCCATTTTCCATGGCTCCCTTTCCTCTTTCAAATCCCCACTTCTCAGGGCTTTCACTAGTGAGCTACTTGCCACTTGTTCAATGTTTGCACTTGTAACTTAACAATACTTCGTATTAATTGCAAGTGCGAACTTAGCCTTTAAACTGGAATAATTGCTGTTAATAAGCACCATACAACACGAAAGCATCTTTGGAAACAAAACTAACAGTGATAGATTCCTTTGGTGTTATCACCTCGAGATTCGTCAACGAAAAAAAGGTAGCATGGCTGAAAAGCAGAAGTGGAATCGAGTAGATCATTGGGACGCTCCACTGCACAATTACAACACTCCAACGATGTGAAACGTTGATTATCTGAAAGGCTTCTAGTTGGAGGAATAGTTTCTTGACTTCGAACAATCAGCCACTTGCGTGTCCACTTCAAAAAAATACCTGTTCAATGTGAGAACCATTTTTGCACAAGGAAATGTATCGTTGAAATGTGATCAATAACACTCCGAAACACCGTATGAATACAGATACGTAGGTCTGATTGAAAGCCCATGTGGCTATATAATAATCTTGATAGGTCCAGTAGAACTCATTAAATAACTGCGATATCCGTAGAGTCCAGAACAAAAAATAGTTAACCATCACCGCAATATCCACGATACCCTGAGCGAACGTTGCATGTTAACTTGAGATTTGTATGGTTGCAAATTGGTTTGTAAATTCTTCTGCTTTTTTTTCCCTTTAGGGATGTTCCCCATGTCGAAAAGGCCAAGTCGTAATGAGTAACGTAGATCAAGAGAGGTGATTCTTGACGGTAACCTCTAAACGTTTGCAGAGGCGATTCTCTGACTATCGGAATTATGAAAGCTGTTTTCGCTCCCGCGTCTACAGGCACAGGTTTCAAGCCTTGTGGTCTGAAACGCGAATCTAAGAGGACACGAGTATCGTTAATGGGTGCAGTTCAACTTACCTATTCAGCAACAGGCATACTCTTTTGAACAAGCCTCATCTTGCCATCTTTGCCACATTCACTCTAGCTTTCTGATAAGAGAGACCAAATGACGTCGGAAAACATGCCATCAATGAGAGGTTGGGCCTAGAATTTGGCTGCCAGTAGTTGCTTACTGCTGGCTCACTTTGTCTCCAGAGGCAGCTGGATCACTAAACTTGAATACAGTGCCCGTTTGGCGCGGAAACCGTAGGCAACTGTAAGCAAACGCCTTCTTGTGGGAGGCATTTGCACAAAGCTCTTGAGAATAGCGTCAGAGAACGAGTCTGAGGGTGTAGGTCACATCACGAAGGCCACTTCAACCTGAGAGCTAAAAGTGTTTTCTGGGATCGAAAGAGACATTCTCTACAGAATGCAAGAGTTTTTCTCCCTCAGAAGCCGATCCTTCATCTCATTCCCGTGAAGCAGGACCCTTACCGCTATTCAGCCGCCGCTGGCAGGGTATTCGCTTCGCGGGTCTTCGTACATAGCGATCAAATTAGCTTGTTCCCATTCATTCGAACAAACTTTCATAACTCCGCTCAGAGAATCGCTCTGCAAACTCCGAACGAATTGTGATCATCTTTCGAAAACACGTCCCAAATTCTATGTTTCATGTATTCTCCAGCTTCTCTCTTGCTGTAACCTCAGCATCGCTGTTTAATTCGTTAATATTGCTGTGCCTCTCGAGGTTTTTAGGTGGAGATAGCACTATAAGGATTTTGGTAAGAGACGGGAGCTGGACCCCGAGGATGGGATGACTCTCATACGCCATTGCGCGCGCTCTCAAGTGACGAAAGAGGTGTACTTGTACAGCTGCCAACCCGTTCTTCTCGCTCGTGGCAAGGACCGTCCTCTCAGATAAATGTAAAGCTCGTCCTCGATTATAATGTGTTAAGACGTTTGGATCGCGTGTTACTTTTCTAGTAATATAAAGAAGCATCGGAGAGGATTCGGTGTAGCGGCAAGTGGGTGCTTACCATGCGCGCGGTCAATGGGTCAAATCCC